ATGGAGGATTGCATCAGGGCGTTTAGGGTGACATGGCATCTAGCCAGTCAGGATCGCGCACACTGTATGGTGGTTGTCGAGGCCAAAAAAATTAATACCCTAAATATTACACACTAAAATAGTGTATAGTGGTAAAGGGATCGTATCCACGGATATTGGTTCAATTTAAATCTCTATGTAAATCACTTTTTCAAGACTTCAAGTACTTGTAAAACAAAAGTGAAAGTAAAATGGGGGGTTTAATTCCTTTTGATTGTTTAACAAAATTAAAACTTGCTAGAATGTAAATATGACAAGTAAACAAGAAAAAGATTTGATTAAATTCAATAAACTGAAATTGGTTGATTTTGGGATACACCACATGGAGGATTTAGTTAACTTATCATTAGACTAAAAGGAACAACACTTGTGAATTGGTTTAACTTGGCTATAGAAATTCATAAGCACAAATTACCTCAAGTCTTCTTAGATATTAAAATGGTTAGAGGAGCTCTAACACATTCCCTTAATTAGATTCAAAAAATCGATGAAGCATATAATCTTGTGAAAATCAATTAGATTTGAGTTCTAAGAGTTACCAAGTCCATAAGATAATCAAATGCTTACATTATCATTATGGAGGAAACATTCCCATGGTTTAAATGAATAAAAACAAACATAGAAACCATTTGTTGCTTACCAATCTCAAAGTCCATTACTTAACCAAGAAATTGATCAACAAAAATATAAGTTTATTCATCCAAGCTCATGATCAAAGATAAACAAACATAACAAGATGTGTAACTAGAAAACATTTCCATAAACTTCAAACACAAGGTATTAATAGTCTTCAAAACAACCAATCATCCATGGGATTAAACCCTAATCAACAAAATAAAAATCTAGCCAAGCATGGCCAAAATAAAAGAAATACAAGGTAGTTTAGAAATACCAAACATTGTTCTAAGTGCAAGATGGAAAGAAATAACACTAATCTTCAAATTCTTCAAGTCCTTCCCAAGTGTTTCCAAGTTTTGAGTGTGAAGAATGCATCTAATCTCCAGCAAAAAGGTGCTTTATCCCGGATTCAAAAGCTCCCCAAAAGCCATCTACCAACCTTCCAAAAATAGGGTCAAAGAGTCGTAGCTCGGGGCAAGGCGAAAGTACCTAAACCGGGGGGATCTGGAGGAGGATATGGGTATTGGGGGTAAGAGTAGGGGTAAGGTGGAGGTGGATAAGGGTGGGTGGGTGGAGGGTATGGATATGGAGGTGGAAGTGGAACGTTCTCAAAATGGTTTTGTGATTGGTGCCACCCCCACATATGGTGCATTTGTTGGGACATGATTTGGTTGGAGACACAAAGAGCCTCAAACCGGGAGGTGCTTGGGACTAGGCTTGTTGTGGACCATGGGTGGGCTCATCATCGGGCACGTCATCCACATGCATCTCGTCATCATCTTGAGCCTGGAGCGCATCCTCATTGACTGACTGAATGATGGTCCTCACGAGTCTCCACTGAGTGCGATCGTGGAAGGAGAAGTTGGCGAATTGATGGTCGGGAAAAATGAGATATCCGACCCCTTGAGGAAAATACCATGTAAAACTGCTCTTGTTCCTATGATGGATTTGATGCATGTTTGTGAGAACCCGCTCATCCAAGAGAATTTTTTTTGTCGACGGGCATGTAGTCGTCCGAAAGCTCAACGTCAAGACCACGGGCTAAAAGGGTGACAAATCCTCCAATGCAAATATCACCGGTTGTTTTGGTTCTCATGAGTGCACATTTGTGGAAAAAGAAAGAGGCAAAATCCGGGATTGGTGGGTTTTCACGTTGCGTCATGCACCAAAGGAAGAAGAGCTCATTTTTTGTTACCTGATCGACTTCTTTGTGGGTTAGGGAGAATAATTGGAGGAGGTGGAGGAAGTGAAGCATGATCTCTTGTTCCTCGATCGAATCGTGGAATATCATCTTCATGTGGAAAGCTTGTTCCACGGGATTTGGGAATACCATAGTTGTCGTACTTTGACATCTACAAAACGGGAGAAACTAAATTCAAGTTGATTGATTGAGTCCTTAATAAATCACCCAAATGAGATATTAAGGCTAGGACCCAACACAATACGCTACAACCTAGAAAAGGGATGTCGTAATCTAGTTGCAGAATATTTGAAGGTAGGTAAATGACGATTTACCAAATTCCACCATGAAAAACGAAAAAAGAAATTTAAGTTTTAAATCTATGAAAACTCCTAGATCCTTTGAGATTCATTGAACTTTTCAATGGCATGTTTAAATCTCGATATGCCCCTCTAGTTTGTGATTGGGATACCGAGGATCATAAAGCGGGTGTGAATAACCATGCAAACTTACATGGTGCCCCCACATGTTACAGTCACCTATTCGATGTGCCGGTTAACCACACACGCTCCACTGAACTATGACAAACATCGAGTTACCCTATGCTACCTTTGCTTAGAACCATTTAGTGTGCCGGTTAACCACACACGCTCCACTAACGTCTTCGCAAGGGCACAAAGTGTAATTTAATGGAATTGCATCAATTCACTTTTGCCTAAAGTAACTAAGATTGGGAATTTTGTAAAACTTTTAGTTACTTTATACTTCATTATACTTTTAATGGAAAGGGTTTGCCCTATCCTACCCGTTCGGCTAACGACCCTCCACCAATCAAGGAAGCGGTAGGTAAGAGTGGATACCCATTAAACGACCATTTTATAGGCCATAACCTTATACTCCCTTATAGATCGGCTTCGTGAATGAGTCCTACTAATGGTAAGACTAGCATTTTAGTTATATTAAGCTTTTAATGTTATATATAGTATAAGGGTGTATTTTACACTTTTAAAATACTAGGTGGTTTAAATTATACTTTTAATTAACCAAAATCATTATGGATTTATTAACTCTCTTTTAATTATACACTTATTTAATTTAATAAAACCATAAGGGTTTAATTTGAACTTTTCAAAATTAGGGTTTTGGAATTTAAACTTTCAAAATTAACTTTTAATCAACAATTTAAATTCCAAAACTTGAGGGCAAATTTTGAAACTTTTCAAAACAATTAGGTTTTAATCTCACTTAAAATTTTCGAATTTAAGACATTTAAATTAAAATTTTAAATATTAAAACTCTTGATTTAATAATTATCTTGAATTAGACTATTAATTTTAATTATTAAATCATAAGGGATTATCTAAATCATGAGGATAATTACCATTTATACATTTAAGATATCCTAATCCCTTAAACTTCTACATAGATTTCGAAAATAAGGGATGAGATATCCCAAAATCTTTAATTACCATATTTAACTATTAAAGGATGATTACAAGATATGGGATAATCTAAATCCCTAAAATTTAGGATCTTATCTTGGGGAGGAGGCTAATTTCGAAAATCATGGGGTTTTGCAAACCCTAGATTTCGAAATCTTAGGGCTTAAGGAAAGGATTTGAAAATCTTGTTCAAATTTTCGCAAATTAGGGTTTGGAAACCATAATCTCGAAAATTCTAGCCTCCTAGGGTTTATTGACATTAAACCCTAATATGTCAAGTTCATACAATTGTATAATACTAATTGAAAACAAGTTAACCAAAGGCTTTGATACCACTAATGGGTTTTAATACAAACAATCCTATGTGTGCATGCAACCCTAGAATTGGATCTATGTTTCACTATTAGTTACACAACATTATGAACACATAATAAAACCCTAATGAGTCATACTATTTTCGAAATTCACCAAGAAGATTAGAATAGATACCTTTTGTTGTTATATAGTAATAACAACTCAAATCCTCCTTGTAATGGCTTTAGAAAGCTTAGAGTCACAAGTATCACTCATCTAATGGCTCATAAACACCAAGAGCAAGAGGATGAAGAATGATAAGAGAGAAGGCACCCAAAAACGTGTGGAAACCCTAAGGAAACTCTTGGCCACATTTTTGGTGCTCTAGGGATCCTTAAATAGTGAGGCTATTAGGGTTATCTAACAAGAAAACCATAATTTGACTGCTTAAGCCCTAAGTAACCCATGGACTCCCTCCTTAGAGGCCTAGGACGATTTCTAATGGGTTTCCCCATAGAATTCGTCCACCCCTCTAATATGGAGTCCATTAGCCTAATATTCAACTATCATACAATTGACAGTTCTAGTCCCTTAAGTTTAATTAATGTCTTTTAGCCACAAAATTAATTCTTAATTAATTATTGACTAATATTAATTAACCAATATGATTTCTCCTTTAATATATTATTCTCATAATATATTAATAAATCATAATTAATCCTCTCTCTCCATAATCCATCCTATCAAGTTGCTTTGGTGAAGGCAACCCAAAAGGATCATGCATCATCGGGTCAAGTACATACAAAAATAGTTATGAGCTTAGACACTAATCCAACATCATGGTCATCCAAATGACATGACATTATCTCTCGATTTACTGCCAAGGTCAAGTATTACGGTGTGGCAAACATAGTTGCAAAAACTTGTTGGTTACATAATCTTCTTTGTAAGTTGGATGTTTTTCGGATCAAGAAACAATTGTCTAGTGTGATAATGCTAATATTGTTTACATGTCTTCTAATCTGGTTCAACATCAATGAACCAAACATATCAAGATAAACATCTCGTTCGAGATTAGGTTGCCTTGGATCAAATTTAAGTTCTTCATGTACTTTTCACTTTTTATTCTTTTGATATCTTCATCAATGGATTTCACTCTATTTGATGAGTTTCAGCCCACTTTAAATGCATGGATAAAACATCTTGATCCCAATAATACTGAGAGAATGGTATTTTAGTGTATACATGAACTCCACCATTAACCATATATATAGAAAGAAGAATTTAAAAACAAAACCCTAAAAATAGTATCCGAAATCGAAATGAATGGAATATCTTTGCCAATACGCACACATGGTCTAAACCTTTTCCTTTCACTTGTTTTATAGCTTGAATTTTGTTTGAATGAAGTCTTCCACCATTCAAAAAAAAAATGTTTTATAAAATCATTCCCACAATTAATTTATTTGTTTCCTATCACGAGTTTTGTAATTGCGCAACTCAAAGCATATTTTGTTGACTACCACTTTGAATTCCTCCCAAAGTTAAGATAATTTTCATTTAAACTCCCCATATGTTACGGATTATCTTAAGTAAAATCCCTCCCATCCATTCACGCGCTTCAAAGTTTTTAACTGCGGTTCCACATCGGCACCCCACTCACCACCGCCAATGCGTGACGTACACGCACCAACACACATCAACACCATACGCCTCCATCTTCTTTATAAACCTTTTCCCCCTTTTTCGACTTTATAAAAACCACAATTCCCCCATAAACCCCACTCAAAGAACCTCCAAGAACATCACAATCATGAGTTATTACAATCAAGGCCAGCCCCCAGTTGGCGCTCCTCCTCCGCAAGGTTCGTTTATCGTTCAATTTGGTTTTCATTTTGGTTTCTGATACGATCTTCTTGTTGGGAGGATTTTGGGAATTGGGTTTTTTGAATAGTGAATTAACGAATAGTGTTTGATTCTTGTAGGATATCCACCAGAAGGGTACCCGAAAGATGCTTACCCACCACCAGGGTACCCGCCACAGGGATACCCTCAACAAGGATATCCACCGCAGTATGCGCCGCAGTACGGTGCTCCGCCTCCTCAGCAGCAGCAGCAACAACAAAGTACCGGTTTCATGGAAGGCTGGTAATTACAAATTCCCCCCTTTTCTCTATCTCCTTTTATGCATGCAATTGTCGATTCTGATCGAGTAAAGATCGGATCTAGATTGCTTGATTTCAGTTTTCTTTTGTGTTAAGTAATTGAGTCGGATAGATTGTTAACCTGTGATATTGACCGGTGAAGAAGGACTTCTGACTTCACATCGGGATTTCTAAATTCATGTGTATGTTTTTCAGGGGTATTTTGGTCATTTTATCTAGTTCATATTATGTGGAAATTTGATTTTTGGGTTTTATAGCCGATTTTATTTACAGATCTTGATTCTTTTGCATCAAATTGTTCCTAGAAAATTCGGTGCAATTTTTTAAAACAAAAAATTGGGAAAGGCGAAAAAAAATTATTGTAGACTTTTGTTCTTGTTAAACTTAAAATAATGAAACATTCTTTTTTCCCTTTTTGATGCAGAAAAAAAAAGACCCAATGTACTTTATGTTACTATCAAACTTTTGAAGGGTAGAATAGTCTTTTTCTGCATTCGATAATTATCAAATCCTTAATTTGCAATGATCACCAATCTAACTTGTGGTTGGTGCCAAACAATAATTATTTCCTTGTAAAAAAACCTTTTAAATTTTTTCGTGAAGGTTTTTTTTTTATTTGAACGAGAATATATCCTTATCTTGTGACCTTAAAATGCTTCACAAAATACTTTAGTTTTCTTATTTCAAAAAAGCTGAATTTAATAGAAAAACCATGTGCTGTTTTTTCATATGGTGGTGGTATTTGAACATGATTCGTGTACGTTTTTTGCTAAATTGAATGCTTTTTATAGAAATTCTTGATTGATACGTAGTTTGTATTGTGACATCACTTGCATTCATGTGGAGGTTGTAGTCATATTCTTTGTGTGGACCACAACAATATTGTTCATAAAACTCAGTCTAATACATGTCAAACATACAAAACAATTTATGTCATGATTTTGAAAACTTTTGATAAGTCAAAATATTGATTTTTTTTTTTTTTTGTAGTTTGGCTGCCTTGTGTTGCTGTTGTTTGCTGGATGCATGCTTTTGAAAGATATATGGATTAGTAGATGGTGAACAAGTTATCAAGATGTCATTTGGGAAAATCAAGAATGTGACTTTGTCACCAAATTTGGACATTTCTTTTATCTTTTTGCATATGGTTATGGATTTGAAAATGAACTGACAATGTACCTAGTATTTCCTTTCTGCACATCTTTTAATGAATCTGGAGTTTCTGTTTTTGTGTTGTGTTGGTTGTTGCAACTTTTAGTAAATGTTTTTAAATAGAATTGTCGACTTGGAAAAAGTGAAAAAATTGTTTATATGAAAAACGTATATAATCAAAATTATAAATAAAAACCTTTATAATTGCAACTTCTAGACCTTTCACAAACTTATTGTTGCATTCTAACTTGTTAAAAAAAGTTCAATTATTATTAACTTTGTCAAGTTAAAACTAAGAAAAACATGTTGTTTATAAAATTGGAAGGATCTAATGAAAGTTGACCAAGGAATAGTACAAATAATGTGAAATCTAGTAGTTTCTTTTGGTCAATATTATTAACTACTAGTGAAGGTTCTTTTAAATTCAGTTGCCAACTCCATCAATAATTATTTAATTTTAGGCGATATTGACGTTATTGACCATTCTTTTATAGGAGCTTGAAGAATATAGCGATCATCTTCTTCTTCGGTTGTTACACAATCTTGCTTTTTAAATGTAGGGGGTTTGAGTTTTTATTTCTTTTATTGCATCTCTATATGTAACACGAATAATTAGTTTGAAACTCATAAAGAAGTTTATAAATAATATACAAATATATATGTAACATGAATAACTAGTTTGAAAGTCATAAACAAGTTCAGATTTTATAACAAGTTGGGAACTCAACCCAAAAAAATAAAGAACAAGTTCTAAATTTTCGAACTAGCTATCTTCGAACCATATATGGATTTTCGAAACGATTGAAATTAAATGAGTTTGTAATTTCAACTAATTTTTCTGAAAACGGGTTTTTATGAAACGTGTTTTTTTGTTAGAAAAATCAATTTCAAAACTTGCAATATTCAAAATTCTTGGTTATTTTTTATATTTCGAACATTTTTTTGTCATTATGAAAGAAGTCTTTTTTTATGATCATTGGGGACAAATAGACAACATCTCTAATTTTAATGTTAGTGATTGTACTTTGATACTATTCTTTTAATAACGAACAAAACCATGCCTTTTAAACAATATTTTACAAATAAAAAACAAACTAATTGGTCGTTGACATCAATATGAACATCCTTTTTTCTGGTAATTTACATTTACATACGTATTTATGTTTTTTCTTCAAATAAGTATTTCTGTTGTACTCTTTAAATCCATGTTTTCAAAAGAGAGAAATATCACTTCAAATTTCCTGATAGTGATTTAATTCTCTAATTTGGGTTAGAAGGTCATTTACATGATTATCAAAATATATCGTGTGTGAGATAACAACTTCAGGAACTTTTCCATAGGATACGAGAATTTGTAAAGTATCGTTTTGTTATTTCATCTTTGTATAGCAATTTGTGCCAAAAAAAAGCATGGTTTATAAGTACCAAATATGTTCAAAATAATTAAACGAAAAAAAGAGAGCTCAGAATGGCCCAAAAAAAAGCATGGTTTATAAGTACAACCATGTGAATTTAATCCAACGTACATTAACATGGTGAGCATACACAAATCAACAAGTTACACATTATGGTATTTGCACACTTCAAAGTGTATTGCTATATATTTCTCACAATTTACCCTTATGAATTTTCAGTCTACTTTTTCTTTTTTAAAATGTAAGCGAAGAGCAATAAAGTCACTTTCATGTTTTCTTTCTTTTTAATGCAAATCATGAACATATTTTCATGGCTCATTAGTTTCAATATAAATTCAAAATATAAATAATTGGATGAAAATCATACCTTTTGACATATAGATGGAAGTTTACTCCTAAATAGTTTTCATTTTACTCTTTGTTGACATCACACCTTATGTAATTCTTTCAATATAAATTTGAAGTATAAACAATCAAACATATATTTCTTTTATAGAATAACACTACCACCTGACTTATCTCAAAAATACATCTAGCAAAATTGTTTAATATTTGTATAAAACTGATATACTTTTTTTACGGAAGCTTATTTACGGAAAAGAAAAAAAATTAAATCCATTCATTATATATATAATCACGATATGTGCGTAATGTAAGCAGTGTAATGTTCGTTACTCTTGATCAAAGAATAGATACAAAATTTCAAAACGCATAATGCTTAAAGTATATAAAGGCATGATCCATGGGACATTTTGAAGTTGTTATAGTTTCTTCAACGTAAACTTCTTTAAGAACCTTTTTAGTTTTTTATTCCAATGCATGTTTATCTTTCTTTTGGGTTTTACTTTTAGTATTTGGTAGACGCTTTGATCAAGATATAATGAAAATCAAAACATGGTGTTATTCAATTTTAAGAGAAAAGTAAAGAAGAAGATATTAAAAACAAGAGCTCAGTAAGGCCTAATAATGTCTTCACTTGAAGATCATACAAATTGATGGACCCCTCCACCATAAAGCCATGATTCATCATCGCTCAAGAGAGATGCACCAGCCGGGAATCGAACCCGGGTCTGTACCGTGGCAGGGTACTATTCTACCACTAGACCACTGGTGCTTTTGTGTTATGGTTATCATCTTCCCTAATAACAAGATAAACTTTGAAGATTGAAAATGATTTAACATCTACTTTTTCTTTCCTAATGCAAGGAAAAAAAAAAAAAAAACAGAAATCAACAATCATGCTTCATCTTTTTAATTCAACCAAGCTGCATTAACAAGGTAAACATGAACACATCAACAAAGGATGCATTATGGGATTTGCACTTCTAAGTTCTACGTACATTTTTATTTCGATATAAATTTTAAATAGGGATAATGACTTCAGAGGGTAACATACTTTTGATTTTGATCACATATGGTCACTGAACTTTTTTTCGTGCTCTATTAACCCTTTAACTTGTTGATTTGTGCAAATTTTCCCCTTCCGACCGGGTTTAGCCGGTTTCAAACGGTTTATTGATCCTACGTGTATTTTTTATCTTACGTGGCGAAAGAGGTGGCATGTAGGGCCCGATTTTTTGTCTCCGTCTCATTAAACCACACCCCGAAGTCTCATTTGGTCCTTAAACTCGACTAGGTCACGAAATTCTCCATCGATCATTCATCTCCTTCAACCGTTCTATGGCATCATCTCCAAATCCTACTGATCAGAACTTCATTGTAGTGGATTTCCACTACAATGGTCAGTTTGCACCCAATCCCTTAGTTTACTTTGATCCCAACAGAGCATCAGTGCGAGATGTTGACTTCAGTGGGTTTGGGTATGAGCAATTCATGGAATTCCTTCACAAGCTCACCAACTCGAGAAGCAAAGACATCTATTTCTGCCTTCCACAAGAGTCTTTAGGTCTTGGAATTCATACACTGGTGAACAATGGTGATTACAAGGAATTTTTGGATTTGGCGTATGCTAATGACAAGAGAATGAATGTATATGTGGATCACCATAATGAACCTATCTTCGACTGGATTGAGGCTGAGGAAAGTGAAAGTGAAAACGAAGACTTAGATGAAGATGAGGATTCAGTTATTCAAGATTCATATTCTGTTGATCATGAAGAAGATGATGCTACCTATCCATTTCCAGCAAACAAAACTGCACGTGATAGATTTTTAAACATCCTTTGTGAACCTATAGAGAGTGAAGATCAAGATGATGAATACGTGCCACCCCAGTACCCTGTGTATGATGAGAGACAGCCATGGGATCAGATGAAACCAATTATAGGTATGCGATTTTCTAACCCTACTGAGCTTAAACATATGTTAAGCAATTATGCAGTTGCTAATGGGTATGATCTATGGTTTGAAAAAAATGACTCTGATAGATTGTTAGTGAAATGTTGCAAAAAGAATAAGTCACCATCTTGCCCTTTCAGACTATGGGCCTCCTGGATGGGTAAAGAAAAGACTTTTCAGATCAAATCTCTAGTGAATGAACATAATTGTTGTAGGGTGTTTAAGTTTGGGTCAATTGTAACTTATAGATGGATAGGGAAACATTTTATGAGTCAAATTATAGAGAACCCAAAATGAGTGCAAGGAAGATGAAAGCTAAAGTGTCAACAACATTCAACATAAATGTGAGTGTGGGGCAATGCAGAAATGCAAAGAAATTTGCATTACAAGAGATTGAAGGAAGTTTAATTGAACATTATGGGAGATTGTGGTCATATGGTGAGGAAATTATCAGGTCAAATCCTGGGTCTACTGTGAGATTGGATGTAGACATCATGCCAGATTCCACAACTTTGTTTTCTAAGTTTTATGTGTGTTTCAAAGCTGTAAGGGATGGTTGGTTAGAAGGGTGCAGGCCAGTAATTGGGCTTGATGGTTGCTTTTTAAAGGGTATAGTTAGAGGAGAAGTTATTTCAGCTGTTGGGAGAGATGCAAACAACCACATCTACCCTTTAGCATGGGCTGTGGTATGTGTTGAGAATAAAGAAACATGGAAGTGGTTCATAGATTTGCTTATGGATGACATTAATGGTGGTCTTGGTGCAGGCATTACCCTTCTTTCTGATGGACACAAGGTTAGTACTAGGTCATTTTTATGCTTCATTTTTATGCTTTTTCACTCATAATGATGTTGTGATTTGTAGGGGTTATTACAAGCAGTTAAGGAAAGATGTCCAGAAGCTGAACATAGACAATGTGCTAGACACATTCTGGCCAATTTTAATAAAAGGTTTACTGGTCAACAATACATAAAGTTATTTTGGAGGGCTGTAAGGGCTAGTACTGTGGAGAAGTTCAGAGGTGTAATGGAGAACATCAAATCTATTGATACTCATGCTTATGATTACCTTATAGACAGAGATCCTACTACCTGGTCTAAGGCATTCTTTCAAGAAGGAAGAGACTGTGATGCAGTGGAGAATGGGGTCAGTGAGAGTTTCAATTCTGCTATTAGGCATGCTAGAAGGAGACCTATAATCACTATGCTGGAGGAGATTAGGTTATTTGTGATGGAAAGGATATACACTCAAAGAGTTGAAGGAATGGAATGGGATTTGCTTATATGTCCAACTATTAGGAAGCGTATAGAACATCTGAAGGTTAAACAGAGGTAATTATTTTACTTTAATATGCTTATGTTAATTATGAGGATGTGTTATTGATTCACTGATGTTAATATGCTTAAACAGATTGTGGGGAGTTACTCCTTGTGGTTATCAAAAGTATGAGGTTAGATTCACTGATGTTGCATATGGAGTGGATCTAATTGCAAAGAAGTGTGCCTGTAGAATATGGCAACTTACAGGGATACCATGCTTACATGGAGTGGCAGCAATATCTTACTTAAATCATGATGCTGAGGCATATGTGTCCCAATCATACACTACTGAGGCTTACCTAAAATGCTACAAATATAGCATTAATCCTCTCAATAGTAGTGAAATGTGGCCAGATGTTCCATACCATAAGCCTTTGCCTCCCAAAAGAAGAAGATTACCTGGTAGGCCATCTGTGAAAAGGAAGAGGGATGCAATTGAACGAGAGTTGAGTGGATCAAGTAGACAAACTGTCTCAAGAAGGGGTAGCATAATAAAGTGTGGTATTTGTAAGGAACCAGGTCACAACAAGAAAAAGTGTCCATCTAACCAACAAAGCAATACATCAGGTGAATATTTTTAAAAAAATTACATCATTTGAACAAAGAATTGACATTTTAATTTTTGTTTGCAGTACCAAGTTCATCCAGGGGCAGTGGAGCAGACCCAAGTTTATCAGGGGCAATGAAGGACCACCACCTCCTCCACCACCACCTGCAGCCCAACAACCTCCTCCACCACCACCTGCAGCCCCCATGCCAAGAAGAAGGGTCCCAGTTAGTAGAAGTGGAAGGAGGAAATATTCTGAACGGATTATCAAACAAGCATTAAGGAGGCAGATACCTGGGGTTGGGAGCAATGCAGATAACCCTTCAGTTATTGATTAATTTAGGGGATAATAGTGGGTGGGTAGGAATATCTTTTGTAAGGCAGTTGTGATGTAAAGACAAAGTAGTAGTCTTTTTATTATGCTTTTCTATGGTACTATCAAGTAGGTGTATGGGCACATGGTGGCCCTTCTTTTGTCTATGCAGGAATCTTTTGTGTTACCTAGAAACTACTTTTGTGTATGCAGACAAAAACTTATATAACTGTAGAATATTAATGGCGTATTACAATGAATCCAACCACCACATTCACTTACTTTTTTTATTATATGTATTTGTTATATGTATGCTACTTTGTGATTCCATTCCAGTCAAAACTAATTCTTTATATGCATGCTACTTTGTGATTCCATTCCAGTCAAAACTAATTCTTTATATGCATGCTACTTTGTGATTCCATTCCAGTCAAAACTAATTCTTTATATGCATGCTACTTTGTGATTCTATTCCAGTCAAAATCAAATATGTATTCATTGTTATATGTATGCTTCCTTATGATTCCATTCCAGTCAAAAATATTTCTTGGTGATTCCATTCCAGTCAAAGTTACTTCATTCCATTCTTTGTGATTCCATTCCAATCAAAGTTAATATGTATGCAGTTAATATGTATGCTTCTTTATAATTAAATTTTCCATTACAATCAATGTTACTTCATTCCATTCCAACAAGAAGTTAAGATAACAACTCTATTCTATTCAAACAACATCTTTCAATACATCATGTGACTTCATTTCATCATATACACGATGATCAGAAAAAGAAATCCAATGGTAAACTTATATATTTTCTCCTTCATTGCAATGGCATCAGAGTACTTTTCCTTCTTCATCTGTTCCATGTCTTCCTTCACCTTCTCTACTTCGGTCTTCAATGCTACTAATTCAGCTTTCATTCCCTCCACCACTTCCATCAGAGGCATCTGTACAAGTTCTACATCCAACCATTTCCAATATTTGCATTTACCCTTCCACAATAAAATTTCAAAGTGAGATTTCAAATCTGGAATAAATGAATCAGAAAAGAGGGGAAATTTAAGTGAAATTGCTTACCTCATTGCACACCATGAAATGCCTCCCTGGATTCTTTGGTGTTGTTGATGTTAGAATACGTGCAGGGAACCCACAATCACAAGTTTTTGGATCATTCACTGTGGATTTCTTGCTTGATCGATTGAGGGAGGATGAGATGCTGTAGGAGGAAGCCATCGGGTATTAGGGCAACAGGGTATTAGAGCACAATAAATGAACAACAAACGCCCCTCCTTTAATAACAAGAACCCTAGATGCCAGTTAGGATCAAAACTGACACGTAGGATCAATAAATCGTTTGAAACCGGCTAAACCCGGTCGGAAGGGGAAAATTTGCACAAATCAACAAGTTAAAGGGTTAATAGAGCACGAAAAAAAGTTCAGTGACCAAATGTGATCAAAATCAAAAGTATGTTACCCTCTGAAGTCATTATCCCTTTTAAATATAAATAAATAATCGTCTCATTTTAATTTCTTTTATAAAATAATATTACCACTTAACTTAATTTCACAGACATCTCTAGCAAAACTATTTTGTATTTATATAAAACTGATATATTTTTCTATCAAAGCTTCTTTACCACACACACACACAGAGAGAGAGAGAGAGAGAGAGAGAGAATTAAATCTATTCAATATATATAACCACAATATCACTACAAGAATTCCATCCTGTGCAGACAGACACCTATCCAGACGATAGATGTTATCAGTACAGATTTGGCGGGAAAAGATGAAAAATTGGTGGTATATCGAAAAGCTTTCCAGACGACTTGTCGTCTGGAAAATGTTCTAAAAAAATATTTTCCATTTATTTTATTTCCTTGTAGCAGAAATCCGAGACGATATCGTTTTGTGCGACCTATTCAGACGACTTGTCATCGGTATAAGTTGATTAAAAATTTAATTTCCCTTTATTTTTAATCCGTGTCGCAGAACATGGGAACGATGTCGTTTTAGGCGACCTATTCCTACGACTTGTCATCGGTATAGGTTGATTAAAATTTAATTTTCCTTTATTTTTAATCCGTGTTGCAGAACACGGAAACAATGTCGTTTTTCAAGGCAATACCGACGACATGTCGTCTGTAAAAGGGGGCCCCGATCCGCGTGAAATCTTTATTTTATTTTATTTTATTTTTTAATGAACTAAAGCTATACGACGGCGTTTTGGTTGACCTATACCGACGACATGTCGTCGGTATAGGGTTTCCCTGATAACAAAACCCATAATCAGCTTTCATTTTGCTGTCGGCTCACAATTTTCCTCTCACACTTGCAGTCGGCGATCTCATGGGCTAGAAGTTGATTCCGAGTTCATCTTCCACCAAGGTAAGGGTTTTGTTGCTTGATTGCTTCTTAATTTCTAAATGTTTAGTCCTTTATTTGTAATAATATGGAGCCCTAAATCACAACCCCATTTCTCTTTATTGATTGGGAAGAAGATTCACCACCCATAGAAAAGGAATTCCGTTTTTTGACCACATTTTGAGGTTAGTTTGTTGATTTTATAATTTTTTTCTTAAACTATACCATACCACAGGAGATGATGTAGTGATTTTTTTTTCATAGACCATGATACGTATATGCAACATAATAACCACTTTGAATTGCATTGTATGAATGATTTTAAATGGTGATAATTTTAGTGGATTAGATGTGCTTTAAGGGATAGTGATATCTAAATGTTATATATATATATATATATATATATATATATATATATATATATATATATAAGGACCACTTTGAATTGCATTGATATGAATGGTTTTAAATGATGATAATTTTAGTGCATTAGATGTGCTTCAAGAGTGCATTAGATAATAATTTTAGTGCATTAGTGTGATAAGAACTCAATCACACTCATTCATTTAGTTTCCCAATAGTGCATTAGATGATAATTTTAGTGCATTAGTGTGATAAGAACCCAATCACACTCATTAATTTAGTTTCCCAATAGTGCCAAAAAATCTTAAACTAGATAGACATACAATTTGTGAAAACACTAACAAAGAGCATGCAACAATAATATAACCGAAACAACTAGAAACTCTAAAAAAAACTTAAGGGTAAGCTTTATATAGACATTATATTTTGAATTAATACATAAAAACAATACTTAACTAACGAAATTCAAGTAATCATCTTCACAATTTGATTTTATATGCAACCTTATAGAACTAGCAAACAAACTTCACAATTTGAGTGTTTAATTTTGTTAGTGACTTAATGTTGGTCATGTCGTTGTTAGCTTAATTAGGTTATTAATAGCAACGTACTTTTAGTAATTTTAAAATAATTATAAAGTAAATGTGATATAGAACTAGCAAGTAAATGTGATTTAGTTTTTTAAAAAAATCAATAAAAACAAAATATTAAACTAATTGTAAAATCAAATTAAATTAGTTTTAAAATCAAATTAATATTAGTTTAAAACAAAATCAAATTAATTATAAAACCATATATAAATATAAAAATGAATAAGAAAAATAAAGGAAAAAACTACAATGATATAATTGAAACAACTAGAAACTCTAAAAAAAAACTTAAGGGTAAACTATATATGGTTTAAAACAAAATCAAATTAATTATAAAATCAAATTAAATTAGTTTTAAAATCAAATTAATATTAATATTAAAATAAAATAAAATAAATTATAAAATCAAATTGATATGATTTTCTTATTAAAACACGCTAAATCGTTAATTTTTAGTTTAAGTTTCTTCTGCATAACCATTGTGAATACTCTATCCAATCCGTCTGATTTTTACTTTTCGAGTACATATAATTTTAAATACTTGTGAATATTGTATCTATTCTTAGGTATATATTTATTTATATAGCCTAAATACAATCTAAATTTCGATAACTATATATATAATATAATATTTAATAATGAAACAACAATGACGATCGATAAGAGTTGGATTAGAGAGAACCGAATGTCTTCAAAATACTTGGAAGGTCTTAAAAACTTTATGAAGATTGTTGAGAAACATGTCAACTCCAAAGGCAAAGTGCGGTGCCCGTGCAAAACGTGTGTGAATTCGTATCGACATGTTTTGCCTACGGTTTATGCCCACTTACATGACATTGGGTTTCTAGAAACATATACTACGTGGATTCATCACGGTGAGAAACATGTCGGTTCTTTGGATTTAAGCTACAATTCGACTCCAAGAACAAACATTCCAGTAAACACGCTCACAAGTAATGAGATGTTTGATGTAATTGATGATGTTATGTCGGAACAAAATACAAATGAAGAAAATATAGACGAGGAGGGGCGAGGTATAGACCCGGAATTTGATGATTTGTTTGAGGAGCTCAATACCAAGTTATACCCTGAATGTAGCGATATGTCTGCCTTAAACTTTTTGGCAAAGTTGTTGCATATTAAAGTGATCAATAGATGGACAAATAGTTCGTTTGATCAACTTGTAGAGTTACTAAGAGCTGCTTTCCTGAAGAGCAAGATTCCAGCTTCACACTATGAAGCTAAAAAGAAGTTGAGAAAGATAGGGTTAGGATATAAATCGATCCACGCTTGCAAAAATGATTGTGCTTTGTTTTGGAAGGAGAATGGTTCCATGCAAAATTGCCCGATTTGTAAGGAGAGTAGATGGGTGGACACAACTACAAAGGGGAAGAAAGTACCACAAAAAGTGTTGCGATACTTTTCTGTGACTCCAAGACTTCGACGAATGTATAGCTCCAGATTCGCAGCTAAAGATATGAGTTGGCATAATACTGGACACTCAATAGATGGTATGATGTATCATCCGGTTGATGGGAAGTCATGGCAAGATTTTGATCAAAGATATCCAGAGTTTGCTAAAGAACCTACAAATGTTCGTCTAGGTTTGGCTGCTGATGGATTTAATCCATTCGGCAACTTTAATAGTACTTATAGTACTTGGCCGGTTATATTAAATACCTACAATACACCACCATAGATATGTATGAAAGAGTCTTCTTTCATGCTAACTTTGCTGATTCCTGTCCCTAAATCACCATCAAAGGACATTGATGTTTTCTTGAGGCCTTTGGTGGATGACTTGAAAATGTTGTGGTCTGAAGGAGTCCAAATGAGAGATGCGTCAACCAACACCGTATTCAACATGCGTGCGATGTTGTTATGGACTATCAATGATTTTCCAGCGCGTGGAAGTTTTTCTGGATGGAGCGGTCAAGGTTATTTAGCATGCCCTACTTGTAACGC